ATCACAAAAAGGAAGGTTTCCAAAGGAATGATCAAATTTTTCATGATGACAAAGCAGAATTTTCAGGCATTCTCGAAACGTATATTTTTGAGCTGCAGGATGAAATGAGTGTGCGAATGCGTAGCCAAAGTCGACACTGGACGACACCGTGTTTTTCAGTGCTTTCATCCTGAAACGTCACCTGGGTGAAGGATTGAGCACAAACTCTCATGGCCAACCATGACACGGTTGGCTTGGACGGCCTATCTGGGATTCTGGGATTTGACCCTCGGAGCTGGTAAGCGTGCCACTTGCCGCTACACCGCCTAAGCCTCCCCTTACGGATAATATATGGTAAATGATCCATTATTTTGAAGCATCACAAAAGCGTAATCCATTTCGCCCTCAAGTGTGCCAACACCAGGGTTCCTTGGGCAAGAGAACAGAACTATAAGAACCTAGTTTGATTTGAAGAGGACTCAAGTGGTTGTTAGAAGAGACATTCTGAAGTGGAGGTGGTACCACGGAATCCAAGTTTTTTTCAAACAAACCTTTATTATATGTGGAGTTTCTTTGGGTTTAATAATTTGGCGAATGATCAGTATTCGACTTATTGATAAGACACTCATGATAGGAAACATTGCAAGCCACAAAGAATTTATAGTACAACCCACGACCTGAAAAATTTATAAAAAACATTCTGGAATCTTTAGCTAATGCTTTAGTCCAAGTCTGCGATTAAGCCCATGCATATAAGCTCAATACTGAGAGAATGTCTAGAAGGCACAACCAACACTCGCATATAAAGGCAGAGATCCAAAATAGAACTGCGGGGCTAATTGAGTCAAGAAAATGCAAGTAAACTGCTGCGGGTTTTTTTCATGAACAGGGGAAAAAATTTGTGCACCCCTAATAGAAGCTTATTCTGTCACTAGGGTCGCAATCGATGGCTGCTAGCCCTACGTCTCTATATGTTGAAGCGTTACGATTGGCTAGAAACTTGACCTCATTAAACATTTTACCCGCCGGACACGAATTTCACCCATTTTTTGTTCCATTCAAGTTTCTATGATGCCTTCTTCCAGACGATTCCCTATTAGTTCAGAGAAGAACAACCAGAATTGGTGTTCAGCCCAGCAGTTCTTACGAACTTATGAAAGATCAACTCATGCCCTAAACTCAACTGACTCTATTATGAAACAAAAACTTGAACAAATCACTGGCGAACTACTTTGTGCAAGCAATCAAAATTCCTGTATCGGACATGGTATTACAGTTGTATTGACTGCAAACGCTGACTCGTTCCAGTGTCCCGGCTTTGGCGCGGCGCCAGTTTGTTCTTCCCCATTTGGTAAGCTGGCAGGCGACAATAATTGCTGAAAAATCGACTGGTGCTGCTCCAGCCAGCCAACCAGCCCTCTCCATGAAACACCCCATTCAAACCTGCAGTCTACAGCGGAAGACACAACCATAACGCTCCTCAGTTTATCAGGGTGAGATTGTTCCACGTGTATGAAAAATACTCTGCGTCGTGCATAGGTACATACAATAATGATATTCTCGCGAGAACGTACCCGAACAAGTGCTGGGAACAGTACTTGAATATGCGAGAATATAATGAAAATTCCACCAAGAATATGGCATATAATCTGGCCGAAATCGACATAGTTTATGTGATTCATGAGGCGATACTGGGGATTTGAACGAAGCTCCTTGTCTGTTGTCATAACCTTAAAGATTCTGTAATGAAACAGGGTTCAAAACATAATGACATCCTCTCAGCCTTCTTAACTGTAGACCTCAAGGCATGTTAGTGAAGCTGGTTTTGGCGCGATGCCGGCTCGTTCTACACCAGTTGTTGAATCAGATAAGTGACCATAATTGGTGATAAACGATTGGTACGACGTAATCCATAGTCTTCTCACTGGCAGAACGAAAAAGAATGAAAAAAAACTAGCACTGCACCAAATTGATCTGTCCTGTCCGCAGCGAAAGACACTGCCTCTACTTTGCTGCTGCTGCTGCCTAGACAATTTCTGTCGAAATTTTACCCACTATTCCTTTAGCGCTAACATTGTCCATTGTCCAGTTTGCCGAGAACAGATGAATAGTGACTGGATGATTGGATGTAGGGGAGCCCACACTCTCATTACTAATGAATGTATGACAAGCGGATCCTTTTCGGGTTTAACGCAATGTTAGAAAGTGGCCCTACCAGTAAACTATAATATAGAGTGGGTCGAAAAAACCTTTATCCCTGAGAAACTTTTAAGCTCTGAATGCTTCACAAAGCCATACCACACATACCGTCTCCACTAATCAGGAGTAAATGTAAGGACATCGGAAATTATAATTTTTTTTGAACTCTGTTCGAAGAGTCGCAGGATTTCAACGCCAACTCACTAAAAAATGCACCAAGCAAGGATGTGTTTAAAGGTGTATTTGTACTTTGTTCCTGCTCCGCCTTCCTAATCCTCTTGAGCAACGGAACAGCGAAACGAGGTAGCGGCTCAAGTAAGTCAAAACAACTCACGTATATGACTACAAGATATAGTGGCACTGCAATCAACGAAAGAATACAGTATATTATTCCTACAGCAACCTCTTCTTGGTTCGGATTTATCGAGAATAAACTCAGACTTGCACTGGATATAGTGGACATTTAAGCGTAGAGACGCTCTCTGGAAACTGAAGAATAATTGCTTTATTGCGGCGAAGACAAAACGCGCGCTCACCTGCAATGTGTATCCTTGGCAGGCCCCAGCGAAGCAAGCAAGTGGTTTTCCCGCCCAAACATGTGCGAAGATGGAGCCCCAGGACCTTGGGATAGGCTGGTTCCTCCATACTGCCGCCTACAAAGCAACTTACGGTGCAGACATGCTACACGCCGCTACCATATCCTGGCCCCATCTGTTTTTCACTTGTTCCGGACAGGCGTCCGCACAAGATACCGGCTGTCGCGCGGCTGCGCTTGGCACATTGGCCGAGTGCTACAGTTTTGCACTTGCTGAAAGTAGCGATCGAAACGCAAACTACCTGATGTGGATGATAGTTTTGAAGCTGGCAAAATTCTGCATGCAGATGATAACAAGGGCGCTAGAAATGAAGTGGGCATTAGACATCTCCAGCGCAGAAGCGCTGTAAGTTGCTTCCTTCAATTCTAGTTGCTTGTGCATCAATATGATTCAGAGTTTGGGGGCAGCACAGAGAACGTTGCTATTGTCATAGCGCAAACCGGAGCTCGCATTTCAGTAGCATCCGAAGGCGCAAACCTGGGAAGAACTTGGCAAAGCGCCAGAAACGCCGCGTACGGCAGCGCATGTGGCTGACGCGCGTTCGTGAGGAGTGACGGCGCGGGGATCATCAGCGAAATGCAGGGCGTCGGCAAGTGTAAGCTGGCTGTCAAGGCGGAGTGTGGGAGGAGCTGACCTAATGCTACCGGTCGCGAGAGCTGCGCATCCCCGCGCAATCGTTCGGGCGGGAAAACGCAGCTAAGCGCTTGAGCAGCTGGGGACGCTGCTAACTGCAGCAGCGACTGCCGAGGATACCATCTCGCAGGTGAGCGTGCGTTTTGTCCTTAATACAGCACTTCGTACTCGGAAAGTTGTCGTAGAAATGTTGAGTTAGGGGCAAGGACATTACATTTAAGCGGAACTCGAACCCCGACTTCAATCTGTAAGCGTGAGGTCCGGGCTTGAGTCTCGCTTCACGGGTGCGGTTCGGCCTATGTGGGGGCACCAAATGGCTCTCAGCTAAGCTTGTACAGGCCACCTCCTGGAAACTTGTGAATTCCCGAGGCCAAAGCGGCTCAGGCTCAAACGATTGCTGTAAAGCTTAGAAACAGGGGTAACAGGTCTACCCAACGTGCAGAACCGCGGTATCGCTAACATGGGCCACCGAACAGGAGCTATTGTGCAAAATGCCCCTCCAAGCCAAACAGCGCCCTTTGACATATGGCTTTGGAGCCAATTTGCCGAAATGGAGGAGGGTAATGTAACAGACAGCGCACTTCGAGTGCGGCCGCGCTCTTGTGCGCGGACAGGCAGCGGAACCCGCCGGGGTCAATCGGTGCACCAAGGGACATAGTGTGCCGTCCGTGATGTCAGCGGCCCCTTTCACCAGTCCAAGCTGCAGCATTCTCTGTGATTGGTTGGAAGAAAATTAACGCCGCTAGTATTCGCTACCGAATAGTATATTGCTCGCCAATCTTCTTGTACCTCGGCAGCATTAGTTGTAAATTCATATGTAGCCGCGCACTTATGTTAGTGTTTTATCAGGTTGTTATGTGGAAAGGAAGAAAAAAAAGCACTTATTCAAGTATAAGGACTAGATTTAAATTAAATTAGGTGGCCGTTCTGATGAATTTTCCTTGGAGGTAGTATATATGACGGCACCAAAGAAATGGATGGCGCGGTTGCTCTATATTTTCAAGAGCACTTTTGTTTGTATCCTGGCGGTTCTCAATAACCATCCGAAGGTGGCACCTAGGTGTTACCACGCTAGGTGCCACGTTCGTGTGTATTGAGATTGAGGAAGAATACACGACGCGGCCCGGATTGGACCTAGAGTTGGAGAGCAAAAGAACATGGACATTCAATCGTCCCCCCTCCCCCTGCAGGTATCGCGGGATGGCAGCGGAGCTGAGTATAGGACGGCGCCAGCTCGATGCTCGGCACACAAATTGGTGTTCAAGGGGGAAGCAACAACGGCAACGTCATCTAGAATACTTTTCGAACATGGAAAGATTCAAATTACGGTAAGTGAAACGCGACAGTAGAGCATTCGCTTTTAGGTCCTTTTGTTCCTGAAGAAGCTCATTCCGCCACTTAGAGAAAGATATCGGACCGTCTAGCAGCCCCAAGAAAAAGCACTGGCAAGCAGCAAACTTCGCTACGATTGTCAACCAAGAGATACTGCCAGCGCTCATTTAAGGTAACCATCGCATAGGGCGGCGCTCGTTCGGAAATCTTCGTTATCAACCCTATCCTTGCCGGACCCAACAAGTCCTAAATTTTCATGACCAAGAGTATTGCTGGTTCGAGCCGAGGGTATAGTAGCACATGAAAAGGGCAAAATTAAGCGATAGCCACACTTTTTTACCCGCCAGCGCAAGTTCAAACCACATACGACACTCTCTCCTTCGCCAAGCGACGAACCGCTTAAGACCGCCGCCCCCGCCCCATCTCCCCAGTGGAAAGTATCACCTCTCACGTGTTCCACACAACGATGCTGCGAAATAGGGCAAGTGAGCCACTTCGATTACAGCAATTCAAATGTCTCAACAGGGGGACGCGTATAAACTTTGCTGAATTCCACTCGATGCCCGCTTGATGCCCCCCAGCAAGCCAAACTGCACCTTGAATAACAAGCGTCATCTATCGCGAGTTTATTGAAACGTCAGTTTGGATAAGTATTACACCATAACAAATCTATGAGCTACAGAAGCGGAGGCGACATCGAATGCTAGCGGTAACTTGGCCACGCCATAGGGCTAACTAAATCACGCTTTCTCGCAATTGTATTAGGATAAATATAATTTAGGGCCGCTGATAAATTTGCGTTATTCCCCAGAATATTACAGTGAAGAGAGGGGAGATAAGCGAACAAGATAATTGATGATTAAAAGGTTGAGCTCATTAGCAAAACATGTGATCAAGCACAAAACATGTCAGCTGTTAACGTAGAGAATTTCAGGCCTTCCACAAATGCCATTCCAGGCCATTGTGTTCCTAATATGAAGAGAAAGCTGAATATGAAGAAGGAAGTATTGTGCAAACGTTATTCACCTTAGAGTGAAGAACAGAATGAACAAGGCTTCAAAGGCAGCGCCCACATTCATTTATGTCCCGCCATACAGCTTTTCTGGATATGATTGCCCCTCACCAGTTTAGGGATGTACATAATTTATTGCATCTCAAAAAGGCGAGAGCGCGCCGTTCGCGTAGTTAAAGAGTCGCGCGCCCCGGCCATCTGAGAGCAAGGCGTTCGTATATAATGAAATGAGGGCTCGCATAAGGCTTATTATTCTTGAAAGCGGGGCTGCAGGCCTTGCAAAGGGCTGATAGATAAACAGTTATGGCTTGCCAGGTGGGCGGGGCGGCCTCTCCTTTCACAGGCGGGTGGCCCATCCTCCGTATGTTTTGAGAGCTGGCAAAATTAGCACACCGTCCTCAGCCTTGTCAACAGAGCTCGATATCTTTAGGAGGGTAAGGAGAAGATAGGACACATACAAATGAACGTGGGCGCTCGCCTTTAATTGATCCTGTCAGCTGACGAGATTTTCAAAGAGTGAGATAGCTGCTGCGATGGGCTGTGAAGGTTCAAGGTACAAAAAGTGAGGAAGGCACCTACACTACACAAGGCTATACTACAGTTGTGGCTAGCAAGCCGTGGTCCCACAGCGGAATCGATGGCAACGAGTCACATCAGTATTTATAGAATAGGGTTCATCTTGGTTCACCACGTTCCTTGGGCTGACCGAATAAGTGCGCTGTGACCGGCTCCCACATCCACCAATGAAGCGGCATGGAAGGGTAGAGTGTGAGAGTGAAAGTAGAGGTGTTGCAAGCGCTTTTCTTCTCACACAGTAGTAAGGAAGCTTAATGGATAGATTTGCGAGTGGTCCGTTAGGCATTCCTATACGGCGCGATCAGGTACAGTACTTGCTATTACGGAGCCTACCAGCAAAAATTTACCGGCCACTTCCCCTGATTGGGACGGAAGGCCG